CCGTTGCGCTTGTGACCCAGTTGCGCTTGTGACCCAGTTGCGCTTGCGACCCGTTGCGCTTGCGAGCCGTTGCGCTTGCGACCCGTTGCGGTTGCGATCGGTTGCGCATGTGAGCCCCTCCGGATTTCCTGAACTACCCAGAAAGGAGAAGTAAACACATGGACCGTAAACTGTTAGAAGAAGTGGAAAACCTTATTGATTTGAATGTTGAGCCTACAAGACTCTTGGATTATTTGGATAATTTAAAGAATAAGTCATTGACAGCTCAAGATGTTGCTAACATCAAGTAAGTGATCCGTAAATATTCTGTTTTTAACCTGCTACTGCACTGCTTGATTTAATAAATATTGCCTTTTTGCAGGGCAAAGTTAAAGAAAACTAGGAAAAATGGCAGGACAGACTCCGAAGAATTCTTTGATGAGTTAGAGAACCTTCTCCAAAAGGATCCAGGGTCTAAAGTTGTATACGGTGCTGAAGAAATTGGTGAAGGTGATGAAGAAAGTGATAAAGAATGTGATGATCCTGGTTCTGATGATAGACAGAAAAAGATAAAAAATTTGCAGCTGAGTCATGTTTACTTCTACACCTCTGAAATGGGTTCTACATTTGAGAAATTTTCAGATGTTCTCATTGCTGATTCTACGTATTGCACGAACAAATACGACATGCCACTGATGGTTTTTCAGTGCCTTGATGCTCACGGTAACGGCAGGGTTGTAGGGTACTGCCTCATGAGATGAGATGAGACCAAATGTAAAGAGTGCGGTTGATGCTTTCTGTAAAGCTCATCCTTCAGCCCAAGATAAAGTTAAAACTGTTTTAGTGGGCAGAGACTACAATGAAAGAGAGGCGATTCGAGAGTACTTCCCAGAAGCTATAATTCACATCTGCTTATTCCACACACTACAGATTTTCAATAGGCAATCGAAAGGAGAGCCTGACAGCACCAATCTCAAGATTGCTTTTGAGGGCATTGCCTACTGTCCTACTAAAGAGGGGTACTTCAGAACTATACGCTGAGCTTCAGAATGTTGCATCTGAAGACTTAATGAAATATTATAATGATACCTGGCACAACTGTCGGGAGTGTTGGGCCATGTTCCATAGTGAAATGTCAATCAACTGTGGTCAAACTACCACGAACATGGCAGAAAGCCATATTCAGAAGATAAAAGCTATCTTAAAGAAAAAGAGAGCTAACATGGCTGAACTTCTGCGCAATCTTCTTTTGCTACTCAGCTTAAAAACGTCTCGTGTGGCCATGAGTACGTTTAATGGTAAAGTAAAAGTAAGGTGTGTCACCAACAACAATGACCCAGTTGTCCAAGAAATTTCAAGGTCCACCACACCATTTGTGGGTGATCGCTTAAAGGCCCAGTACAATCTAAAACGGAAGTAGGAAAAGAACAAACTCACTGACCTCTCTGTTTCCGTAATGGCTCTGATTGGTCGGGCTTATCACGTGCCTCCGAGGCCTTTCAGGTATGAGAAACTGTCAAATCAGTTTCGAGCTCCCCTCCATATTTGAGAGGTTAGGGTTGGACCAAACTGCCATGGAAGTTTCTCATTCTGGGCGGACGGAAACAGGTAGATCAGTGAGTTTGTTCTTTTTCACTTCCGTTTTAGATAGCCTGGAACACCCTATTGGGCAATGGAACAGGCTTCGAGACCTGACACCTTACCTACCAGCTGGGTTTCACTATTCCTCCGGTAATTGTTTACTTTAGTGACTCCTCGCCCTGGAGTCACTCAAGTATACCATCGGAAAGGTATTTTTCAGTAGAATCCTGAACAGTATTTATATATTGGCGCTCGAGTCTGGTTTTCCTCAAAATTAAATAAATATGCGTCGCCGCTAACCTTCAGATGCACTTTGAAGACGGCAGAATAACTTACGTTTACGGCTGGTCCTGACGTTGATCGCTCCGGCGAGGGTTTTTAAATCATTGCTCCTGCATCAAAGACTACGCCTGATTCATAATATCAGGCTTTCTTTCTCTACCGTTGCTTAGATCACAGTTTTCACACTTCTCCAAAAATGCCTTCTGCTTAGCGTGGTCCTACCCAGAAAGGGGGCGGAGTGCTGTCACGTGCGAGGCTACGTACCGGTCAGGCACTCGGGCGGACGGCGGGCTCGGTTGCCAAGAACAATGGGCAGTTCAGAGGGGCGCAGGTGCGGGTTAACAGTAGTACCAGCAGAATGTAGGAAGATTGTGGCTGCCCGTCCTCCAATGAATTTTCCCTTCTATTTAACTATAAATATTGCGTTGGACGTTCCGATGAGTGGCTGTTAGCTGCCCGTTTTCGAATAAATTTCCCCGAATAAATTTTCTCTTTTAACCGGCCGTCTCCGAATGATTTTCCCTTCTATTGAGCACGCCTTACTTTTCAGCGTCCTGACCTAGAGGCGAACAAGAGGAGCTCCGGAACGATGTTGAGCGGGTCAGTGCGCGCCGACAACAACAGCAGCAGCAGTCAGCACGACGCTGAGCGGGGGTGCTCTCCGACAGCAACAGCAGCTGTTGTTAACAATAGCAGCAGCAGTCAGCACGACGCTGAGCGTGGGTGCACGCCGACAACATTTGTTGCTGCTGCCGTTGTTGTCGAAGCGCACTTACGCTCAGTGTCATTCTGACTGCTGTTGCTGTTGCTGTCGGAGCGCACCTACGCTCAGTGCTATTCTGACTGCTGTTGCTGTTGTTGTAGGGGCGCACCCACGCTCGGCGAGTGCTCCTCAAAAGAAGGGAAAATCATTCGGAGACGGCCGGTTAGAAGAGAAAATTTATTCGGGGAAATTTATTCGAAAACGGGCAGCTAACAGCCACTCATCGGAACGTCCAACGCAATATTTATAGTTAAATAGAAGGGAAAATCGAGGGGGCCGCCACTCCTGAAATCATGTGTACGCCCTCCCTGAAATCCTCCCAAGATCATTTGAAATCCACCTGCAATCATGAAATCATGCGTAATCTGCCAGCAAATTTTAGTCTGAAATCCTTAGAAGGTCAAGTAAAAACCGCCGGAATCACGTAAAATCCGCCGGAATCTTGTGAAATCCGCCGAAATCCGGTAAAATCCGCTGAAATCATCTGTAATCCTTCAAATCATACATAATCTGCCGGCAGGTTTTAGAGTGAAATCTTCAAAAATAATGTGCGAAATCCGTGAAATCATGTGAAATCACGCAATCTTTGTAATCATGTGTACATCCAAAGAGAGAGAGAGTGGTGGCCCCCTCGGGGAAAATTCATTGGAGGACGGGCAGCCACAATCTTCCTACATTCTGTTGGTACCACTGTTAACCCGCGCCTGCGCCCGTCTGAACTGCCCATTGTTGTTGGCACCCGAGCCCCCCGCACAGTGCGGCGGAATCCGAAAAAGATGGACAAAATTCAATTTTTCACTTCATGAGTAGGATAGATTCTCCTTTATAGGTCAAATCTACTATGTTCAAACCTCCTAAATGTCATGTTCTTTTATTTTTTCGACACTCCGTTCAATTTATATGAGCGATTGAAATGTGTGTCTATCAATGGCCGACAAGCGGGCGCTTTCGCGCCAAAATGACGTCTTTTCTGAATGCAATTTTTCGGTAACATAGTGCGCTAATAATTAAATTTAGTTTAGGGTGCAGTAGTTTGATTCTTTACCTTGTAGAATATATGCTTCACTACGTCATAATCACATTATTTGAATATTTAAAATAGTGTTTTCGAAACGTCTGCAAGGAGTGGTTCGTCCAACACTGCACCACCTCTCAATTGAGTTATAAAGCGATTCCCGTCGTCTGTCGCACATAAACTTGAAGCTTAGGTCTGAAAGACTTGAATCCAACTGTTATTCGCTGCAGAAAGCCGCAGCCCTGCATTTGCGGAGTTAAACTATTAGGCCATTTTGAGGTTATAATGCCTTCCCTTCTTTTGCCGAAAACGACAATTTTATGGCTCTCGCACTTCGGGAAATATTAGAACTTGTAAAACTAAACACAGATCTGTCATGCTTACCTTATACGTGAAAATCTTTACAGTTACAACGTGAATTTACCGGTGAACACTGAATCCGCTGGGTTGACATTGTTTACTTTGGCCTGGGTCCTGCTATGCACCTAATGCTTCACGCAGGAGGGAATTCCATTGAATTTCGAGTCTCTGAGTCTTTTTTCTGTCCCAATTAACAAGATTTAAAGTAAAAAGAAATAAATACTTGTTTTTTTTACAAAAAATATCTGCAATATTTTTGGCAAAAATCATGTAAAAGGTTAAAATTGTGTTCAAAAAATGAAAAACGTGCTTCTGCTGACCATTCTACATATAAACCCGTCCAAAATAGTAAGTGGAATGGAGCCCAGGTATTTTGTCCACCTTTTTCGCGATCCGCCGCACTGTGCGCCGTCCGCCCGAGTGCCTCACCGGTACGTAGCCTCGCACGTGACAGCACTCGGCCCCCTTTCTGGGTAGGACCACGCCAAGCAGAGGGCATTTTTGGAGAAGAGTAAAAAATGTGATCTAAGCAACGGTAGAGAAAGAAATCCTGATATTATGAATCAGGCGTAGTCTTTGATGCAGGAGCAATGATTTAAAAACCCTCGCCGGAGCGATTAACGTCAGGACTAGCCGTAAACGTAAGTTATTCTGCCGTCTTCAAAGTGCATCTGAAGGTTAGCGGCGACGCATATTTATTTAATTTTGAGGAAAACCAGACTCGAGCGCCAATATATAAATACTGTTCAGGATTCTACTGAAAAATACCTATCCGATGGTATACTTGAGTGACTCCAGGGCGAGGAGTCACTAAAGTAAACAATTACCATTCCTCCTGCACATGCAGGTTTTATAAGTCGTTTCATCTTCCCTGCAGTCATATATTTCTAGGACGATTGAGGGCTGGTAGGTGTACCTAAATTTCTCACTTGCGCTTTGAACTGATTCTTTTACAGTGCATAATCAGTCTTTTATCGGTTTAGGAGTTGAAATATTTGGTCTGGATACGATTCCTCAAAGATGGCAGAAAGAAATCTATCTAGCACAAAAGAAGTAAACGCCAATTCTGTTGCCCTCTACATTGAAAATCCTCTGAAGAGTAAGAAGAAGGTCCTATCTGAAAATCAACGCTTTGGTATTGTTACGCAAAGCACTAATCGCCTTCTTCATATGGTAAAGGGTTGTGGTGGCAAACAATTTGCCCTCAGACAGGCTGCATTAGAGAAGATTGAAGAAATCTGGGCTAGAGGGAAGGAAATCAGAGTTCTAGAAGAGGGTACTGATAATTCCTTCATGGTAATTGATTTGATAAATGTTGTGCATTTTTAGTGTGAGTGTTATTGTTTCTATATTATCTTATACTTGACAGATAACGTAACAATTGTTGATGGAGATGAAAATGTTAATCGTGCGGCCGGCCATAATTGCAATTCTTCAGAAAGCAATCAAGTTCAACATGAAAATTTGAACTGTCCTACAACTGAGCCCACAACTGAGAGTCCAAATCGGAATGTAAATTCATGTGTGCAGTACAAGCACCTGGACGCAAAGATGCGGAGCACACTCACCTTGCCTATTGGTCATGTTCCTAAAAGGAGGCCCAAGGGTAAAGAGAGGACGTCAGTCATCGGTCTCAAGAAACAAGGTTTGTTGTTCTCCTACATGTTATGCACATAAGCACGTTTGTAGGATAA